CGGGACTTCCTCCCTGCTCTTCCACTCACCTTTAGGCCTTGGCTCTTCACCCTCAGAAACCGCCCTGAGGGACGGAAGCGTCCCTCAGTTTCTCTAATCCAGATCTTCATTCTCCTTCTCCTCAACCCCCTCCAATCTTTCCTCCCTTCCTCAGGCTTTCTTCATTCTTCCTCTGCCCTACAGTTAGGCTGAAAAGAGGCATCCTGAGGATGGAGAAAGAGTCTCCATTCATTCATTCATTCATTCATCCATCCATCCATCCATGTTCCCCCCCCACCAAAAAAAAAAAAAAAGATCGAAGGCTTAAAATGGCTTTGGGGAATACAGTGTTGACCAAGACAGAGCATTCCAGTGGAGGGAGATGGACAATTACTAGTAAAATAATACTGAAACAGCGCATTGCCATAAAACAGTTCAGTGTTAGAAAGTGGATAGGGGTGTGCTGCTTTAAAACGGTTGTGAAGTTGACCAAAAGTTTGGTCATCAATGCATCCTTCGGACTAATTTATGACCGAAAGTGGGAACTATGGATGAAAAAAAGGAAGTACTATGGAAAGTAACCTCACAGGGTAATCTGATCACAAATTCCTACCTGGGCAGGTCATGGTGGGTAGTCATGCCCCAGGCCTATAACTTCTTTAGTGAAAAGTTTTAAGAAAAATTTTAAAAAATAAAATAAAATAAAGCCTTCTCTATGGAAGGGCTATGTGAATTAAGATCTAAACAATGGGAAGGGGCCAGGCAGTTTAGGTAGCTCCAGCATCCCTTCTTCTGGATCCTCAGCATCTCTGTCCCCAAATCACACAAAACTAATTAGGGAGGGTCCTTGGTGTCTACAGATATACAATACAGTATCTCACTCTGATATCATTTAATATTTTTAAAAAGTTTTTAAAATAAAATATTTCATGCTTACCAATCTAAGAAAAACAGGCAGTCACCACTCAACTTAAGAAATAGTTATTACTAATGTAGTTGAAGCACTTTCCTGCGCTTCCCTAATCTTCCCCTCCCTATCCCACAGATGTAACCATTATTCCAAATTTGGTGATCGCCATGGTCCTAAATGTTAATAAATTTTGGTATATGTGTATGTCTCATTCAACAAAATACTGTACTCCTTTTAAAACTTTACATCAATTACAATAATAGCTAACATTTATTGAATGGCAGGCACTATTCTAAGTGTTATACTTGTATTACTTTCTTAAATCCTCATGATACCCCTGCATATAAGTCCTATTATGACCTCAGTTTACAAGCGAGAAAACTGAAAGGTGGCACAATTTCCCCAGGATCACACAGTTTGCAAATGGCAGTGCCAGGATATAGACCCAAGCAGTGGGATGCCAGCCACCCACCAGATCACTGTGCTACACAGCCTCCTGTTCTATAGCATACTGTTTGTGGTTGTTTGTAAATTGCTTTTTTTTTTTTTGGCTCAAATCTATGTTTTTACAGATTTGCCCAAGTTAATACTCAGAATTTTGGTTCAGTAATTTTAACTTGAGTGGTATTTTGCATATGAAAATATGATTAATTCCATTGCCTGTTAATGGACAATAATTCGTTTCCTTTTTTTTTTTTAACACCTACAACACCTGGTATTCCTAGGTAGTGTTCCATCGAAGCACTAACCAGGCCTGACCCTGCTTAGCTTCTGAGATCAGATGAGATCGGGCACATTCAGGGTGGCATAGCTGTAGACTCTATTTTTTACTTTATCATTAGTTCTGCTATATTTCAAAAAAGTCTCCTTGTTCTACATGCTCTTTATCTTGGGAAATTCAACATCATGAAGGCTCAAACACCATTTCTTCCCTTTACCCAAGCAAAATTAATTTCTCCCTCTTTCAGCATTTGATAGAATTTGGCCATAGAACTAGGAATGGAGTATATTTAGGTGTATGTATGGCTCTTTTGTTTTTCCATTAGACTGAACTCCTGGAGGGCAGCACTCTGAACTAGACACCTTTGAATTCCCTGTGCTGTTGTTGTAAATAGTTGTTAATGTTTCTAGTTCTCTCAGAAAATACACAGGTATTAGGGACTAAGAAATGGGACACAGATTCAGAATCAGCTTGGAAACCAAGAAGATATTTGCACTCATATTTCATTGGCCTTTAAAATCTCTTGCAAGGTTCTATAGATAAAGCATTTACAAGGAAAAAAGATCCTCTTGTGGATTCCTTTTAAAAACCTTGGCAATAGATCAACCTGCATCTCAAAGACCTGCTGTTGGTGAAATACTTACACATGTACACATACATGCATATGCAAGGATGTGCACACAGTGCTGCCAGTAATATCGAACATGCGAAAATTACCTAAATATTAATAAGGAAATTTTTTTAAACGATGATCTATTCCATATTATAGAGTGCTATGAAGTTAAGGAAAGTGGGGTAGATGTATTTGTCCTAACTCACTATGACCCCATCTGTATGTAAAACTCAAAGCTGATATGTATATAATTGGAGACATGCACACCCAGCTGCTGAAAGCGGTTACCTTGGAGGAAGGGTGTCAGGGAACGGTGTGAAGGAAGGTTTGGGGCTGAGTACCTGCTTGAAGGTGGAAGGAAGTATAATGCCCACCAAACCATAAAGGTATCTTAACACCAAAAAACAAAGCAGGCAAATTTATTGAACATAACAGAATTTATTATAGGGTAATTTATACTTATAGGGAAGATTGGGTCGGAGCAAAAAAGACTACCCAGCAGTCTGCACAGATTATTTTCCGTTACTCTACAGTTGTTACAATAAATGTTTTGTAGTATAGCTGAACTACTAATGATTGGAAAGGCAAAGGGACAAAAAATGTAGCATAAGCCAAGAACCATACCTCTTGGTGGTCTTATGATGGATAATTGCTTACAATTAATGCCAATACCTAGTTTGATATTTATCTCAGTTGCTAGACATTCTGGCCATTTACTGACTCTATAGTTACATTGTGTAAGATTATAGGACACAGCTAATCATTAGCTATGAAGCTTTGGTGCTGGCTGAGACTAGATATGTTAGAGACCTCAGCATAGAAACTAGAAAGAAATTTAGGGGCACACAAAGATGGCGTCAGCTTTGGTTACATCGACATCTATATAGTACCCCAACACTATGAGTTGTATAATAAAAATGTCATTATATTTAGAAGTCTACAAGTGTATATTTTTACAAACATTTAGAAATACATATATTTAATACATGTGTATTAAATGTACTATGTATATGGTCCATAACTGTAATGTCATAGAAAAATATTGAAAATATTCAAATGCTAATGACATGCTAATAAAATGGTTTTCTTTAGGTAGGTAAGACTTCAGCAATTTTTCCTCCTCTTTTTACTTTTATTTCACAATTTAAAAAATACTGTGACGGGTGTGTCAGGCCCCGGGTGTGCCAGGCCCCAGGTGTTCGCCAGGAGCATGTGGGAGGAGACACCCCGCCTTCAGAGATCCATTTCTTAAGGAGAAATGGCAACCTCCACAGGTCAGGGGTGGAAGAGGTGTGGGGGGAGTGGGGGGAGTAGTAAAGAGGGGGAAAAAGAATACTGTGATCACAATAGTTCACATTTTTAAATCTCTGAAATTGGGATGCATCCTACAATTATAATTGGGAGTGTTCTTTCCTTTGTTAAGGAAAAGTGATGTGCTCAATCATTAATGGCACTTCTAGATTTGAAGAAAGATCGTCAACAGAAAAAAAAATGAGAAAATATGTTAAATCCTTAGACCCAGATCTCCCTTCTTAACCACTTTACCAAGGTCATTTGCTGAATCTTAGAAAGATATTTAGCCCAAAATACATAATATAATTTTCTATGGTATTTGGGCCGGGGGAATCATTTTCCATTAAGTTAGCAAGAGTGCAGGATCAGTAAAACTCTATTTTCCCCTTGCTCAGTGTGCAAACATTTTCACAACAGGCTGTGACACATGCTCAAAACTGGAGAGACAGATGTAGATATAACTACAGCAGAGTTCTTGCCTGTGGCCACCTTACAATAAGGCAGGAAAGCAGAAAGGGGGAGGGAAGGCATGAGCAGACCTATTGCTTCCGAAATTTCAGACCTAGAGATCCAAACTTGAGGAAAGAGAATAAGGTGACAAGTCTCCAAGGTAGAGCAGGATGAAAGCATGTTAGGTGTACTTCCTCTCCTTGCTCCTGGTGGGGTTGCTCATGCTGAGCCTCCCGCAGTCCCTGACCTTAAGTATTTCCTCAGGAGTGAGTTAGACAGCAGACCCATGCGGCCAAGGCCCATAGGTGCCACCTTTGTCTATGGCACCCAGAAAATAAATGGGATGAAGACAACAATCAACAGATTCTAAAACAAAGGAGTTAAGGGAGATGGTGTTGGGTGCAGGGAGGAAACAATAATGAAGGCTCGGGTGGAGTGGGACACAGGGTGAGGGGTGGAGAGGTTATCTGTAGGAAGGGGGCCACGCCACGCCTGGAATTGCTGCCCCTCTCCCTCCCATTTCACTGCTCCGCCCTGCAGTCAGACCTGCCAGACAGGTTTACTGGAGTTAAGGGCAAAGAAACAGAGGGTGGAGAAAAGGGAGGCATTTCCGACCTTTAGCAATAAGACCAGCTGCTGCCCTGTCACCAGTGGAAGGAGTTGGGGTGTGGAAACAGCTCTGCCATCTTAACTGCGAAACCTCACTCATGCCCCCTCTCTTCTTTGTGCCCGTTTTCTCAGTGAGCAAATGGAGCTAATCATAATTCTCTCTGTGCCTCTCTCAGGGAGGGTTTAAATCAAGAAAAATCTTTATGCCATTTTTATAGGTAACGACAGTCTTGTGCAGGGAGTCCCCAAGACCTTCCCCAGATTTGATGATTTGGTGGAGGACTCACAGGATTCATCATACAGCTGTCCACATGGCTATGTATGATTTATTTCTGCCAGAGGATACGAAGTCAAAT